TTTAATAATTTAACCTTGTTAGAAACCGTGCAACTACTTCCATTTTCATGGTAAAGAGACAATCGAGGGTAGACCAAAGGAGTTGCTTTTAATATCAAAAGACAAGGAATAGAAGCTAAAGAGAGAGAATGAGAAATTGAGCAAGCAAAATACCGATTTGGTGTTGGGAAATGGGAATTTGAAGAATGAGAATGAGAGTTTGAAGAATGAGAGTCTGAAGAATGAGAGTTTGAAGAATGAGAATGATAATTTGAAGAACGAAAATGAGACTTTGAAGAATGATAATGGGTATTTGGCAAATTAGTGTGAATTATGGATGAAGAAGATGAAGATAGCTGAGAAGAAAGTGAAAAAGTTGGATAAGGATTACCGGACATCAAATAAAGTCAACCACATACTGTGTGTAGTTTTTGTTGTGTTCATGGCTATACTTCTTGTCATATTAGTTGGTGTGTTTAGGTTGATGTAATGGACATATATAGGTGTTGTGTCTATATATGTAATGTTTTTGTTATGTTTTTGTCCATTTCGAGTCTTCCTTGCTATCATAGAGCAAGATGAATGCAATTTCTGGGTTGTTTCAAATGCATTTCCTAAATCAATTTCTGCACAAAAGCATTCTGGTATCCAAAGATAGGCAAATTTGGTAATTGGTCATTTACCTAAAGCAATTCACAAAAGTCAATATATATATGCATTTCATTAATCCCAATACAAAAATTACAATGCATATGCAGCAAGTGACAAAATATATGTTGTCCAAGTCCAAAAGAAAATCACATTATACCATATTCCATGCCAAATACAACAAACAACCTTAACTCCCATATCTGTCCAAAAACAAGCATCCATGCAATACCAAAGGCAATACACCCTAATCTGTCCAAAAACAAGCATCCATGCAATACCAAAGGCAATACACCCTAATCTGTCCAAAAAAGCACACCCTAATAACACAAAAAAAAACTTGACAATCTAAATATTTGACTGTTTATCTTTGTGAATTTTAGTCAATAACTCCACCCAACGACCAAGTGCTTCTTCTTCCTTTTGCCTTCTTTTTTTCCCATAATAGTGCTTGCAAGTTAGTGGCAGTAACAAATTGCCTACTGCTACTTCCTAAGGGAGTTATTGTTGTTGTTGGTAGAGGTGTCATTAGTGCAAGTACTGCTTGTGCAAGCACTGTTGGTGCAAGCATTAGAGCTACGGTGGGGATTCCTCTATCCCCAACTCCTGTTGCCCTCTTCTGAGCATATCCGACAGATAGAATTCTTTCACTTTTATCTCCAGCCTATAATAAACATTAATTGCATTAAGCAAGCATAATACATAAAATAAATTTTGTAGGAAAATAAGAACAACATAAAGTTAAACTAATCCACATACATTTAATTTGGAAAAACCTGTATTTGGATTCACATATGTTCCAAAACCTTTAAATTTCTGCTTTCCTTTCCCTTTTGAATAGGCATGCTTTACTTTTTGTGTTTTTGGGGATTGTGAAAGGGTTTCAGATGGAGGTGCAGATGGTGGATCCTGAATATTAGATGCAACAACACTTTATGTACATAGAAATATTGTGAGATTTTTTATCAATTAATAAAAAAATACTTATGTTGTTATTTACCTCTTGCAAAGTTGGGGTTGGGTTATTTTTCCTTGCCCTCTCTTCTGCCTTCTTCTACAAACATGATCTACAATGTTAGCATTATTTTAGGGAAAAAAATTTAAATTAAAAAAAATGAGTTGTTAAATCCATTACTAGCTGATGAGCACTTATAGTTCTCTCCTTCTTTCTTGGAGTGGGAGTTGTGGCCTGTTGAACTCGTGGAGTTGAGCTAATTACTTGACTCACTGGAGGATCTTCTTGGGTTATGTTCACTAGTTCTTCCTCAACAATGCGTGGTTGGTTGTTTTCTCCATGGGGTGGCTACTCCTCAGTAAGATATTGCTGGTTGTCCTCAACAGTGGGGGGCTGACTACCCTCAGTATGGGGTGGCTGGTGGTCATTAACAAGGGGTGAATGGTTGTCCTCAACAAGGGGTGGTTGCTCCACAGATGGTTCATTCTCCGTTTGAGGCACCTAAAAATGGTAACAAAAGTATAATTAGAAAGTGTGCAACAAGATAGGGAGAACAAATAAAGCTAAGCATACATGTTTGGATGTTATTTACATTTAGTAGTTGGCCTTTACACAATTTGGAATTGTGACCTTTTTGGAAGCATTTCTGGCAAGTCATTTTTCTTCCTTGTCTTCCCATTTTTGTCTTTCCTTTCCATTCTTCATGATTTCATTTTTTCTTGGGCTTGCTAGGCATCTTCCTCGGTGCAGGTGGCTGTATGGTTGGCATCCCTGTTGATGTCCACTGATTCATGCCTTCAACAACTAGTACCTCATATGCATAAGATGCCCTAAATGTTGACAACTTGTACTAGTTTGAAACATATTCGTCAACTCTTGGTTCTTTTAAACTCAATACCATAATGGCATGTCTACAAGGAATCCCAAATAGATCCCAATACCTACAAGTGCATGTCCTATTTTGCAACTTTACAATATAAGTGTTTCTACTTGATTCCACTTTATTTTTACTATTCATAAAATCCCCAACTTCATAACCAACTCCACTAGGCCATGGGACTCTGCATTTCTTACTACCTTCCTTATTCCGTACAATCTTAGTCCATATTTTGGGGTCAAAATCTCCCACAAAGTTAGTAGATCCAGACTCTCTCCTAGTAACAGTCCTTGCTGCACACATAGCTCTCATTTCTTGATTCAAAGAAATCATTGCCTTGTATCATGCATCAACAAGTAAGGCATTGAACACCTCACACATGATATTGTCAACCATAGATGACTTAATTTCAGTTTTGAAAAAGGCTTTGCTTCAATGCTTGGGATCTACACTCATTATGTCACCCCTTGCTGCATGCTTCAATTTGCCTAACTCTGGTAAGGCTGCATTGAATTCTACCTCATTCAGTGCCTTCACACATCTCCAAAATAAGGCTTGCAATTCCTTCCCTCTGTGTTTCTTCCTGAAGTTGGCATATCTATGCCCAGCACAATGTCTATGTTCTGCATTTGGAAAAAGGCATGCAACAGCATTTGCCAACCCCTACATTTAACCAATAGTGCCAACAATAACCAAAAAAAAAAAAAAAAGAAACCTACAAGGGATACATATTAGGGACAAAAAAAGTGCAAGAATAAAAAGTTAGGAGACCAAAAAAAGCACATGCCTAAACTTTTTCATTCACACCATGCATGCCATGCAAGTATACAGTATAAATGAAACTTGAATAATACACTAAATTGTTTAAATGAAAATAAAATATATTATACCTTTTGTTGGTCAGATATTATAGCATAACCATCACCATCTCCTATTTACAAATCATATTTAAGTTCTTCCAAAAACCATGACCAACTTTCTTCCTTTTCAACTTCCACCATACCCCATGCAATTGGGTACATTTGGTCATTGGCATCTTTACCAACAGCAGTAAGTAATTCCCCTTTGTGTGCTCCTTTGAGAAAAGCTCCATCTAAACCAATGATTCTCCTACATCCAGCAATGGATCTCTTTTTCTCAGTTCTGCAGTATAGTGAAAAAAGCTTGTTGTATTCCAAGGAATGATCCCCTTCAAAAGTTTTTCTCAACCTCCTTTTAATAATCCTACCCTAAGTTCGAGTCAACTCCATATTCAAATCATCCCATATTTCAGTTAAAATATCTCCACTTTTCAAATAAACAATAGTAAAGCCCTTAGTCTTCAACTAATGGTTCATTGCAAATGTTGAATTAGATCTCTGATTGGTCGATCCCCATTCACATGTGTGTTCACTGTTAAATGTCTTAACCATCCATGTCTCGATTGGCTTATCCCATGCGAACAAAATCTTCTAATCATAGTCCCTTTCTTTACAAATAGCCTTGTGTCTCTTTTTATCATTCTTCACCCACCTAATTGGCCTCCTCTAGATAATACTCAATTTATCCACAGCTTTTTTAAACTCAACTTTATTTAGAAAAACCATGCCTAACTAAATATGTGGCATGGCATCATTTGTTCCTTTGAAAACTTTGTGCCTACCATTCCTTCTCATAGCATGTTCAACTTCACTTCCATCCTCTTCACTTGTTGAAATGTAGCTGATATCATCATCACCATCTGAGCTTAATGAATCCTTAGGACCAAGATCATTGTGACCAGTTGAAGATGAGGGAATTTCATGACTAGTTCCTACAGGCAAAGCATATATATTACTATGAATTCCATTAAGTCACTAATGAACTAAGTAAGGTCATCAACGATAAGCATCTTAGCCAATGCTTTCCTAACATCTTGTTCATCAAATTTTCATGATGTTGTTGTCAATTGAGTTACTTCTTTACCATCTACATCATCAACCTCTAACACTTTTTGGAAGTTAAGTAAAGTTTGTTGAGTCTTAACATTCACAAGATTTAATTTACAGCTATTACAATGGTTTTTCAATGGAGTAGTTCCATTGGTTCTAGACTCAACAACTAAATCATGCCCACAGAAATGACACCTAGTCCTAGTCTTACCACTCTCATCAATAAATTCATCAAAAAATTTCCATACCCATGCCTTGCACTTCATAGGTTTTCTTTGGACTAAAAGGGATGGTCCGGCTCCAATAGCACCAGCATCACTGTTTGCTTTGTTTGATTTAGCATTTGTGCTTCCATTCGTCGTGTTCTTTGTTGCATAGTCTCTTACAACTATTATGCCTGAGTTTGTCTCCTTTGACTTCTCAATACTCTTACTATTCTCCATTCATGCAAAAGAGGCATAATATAAGAATAAACTATTGCTATTCAAACAAATCCTCTAAATCTACCAAACCCAAAAACCTATGAAAAAATTACTATTCGAATAAATCCATAAATCTACTAAACCTAGGAAATTGAAAAAAAAACCATGAAGTATAAAGTTAGAGACACAGAGTCAACCAGTGCAAAACTTAGTTATTCCTATTGAAAAAATCCACTAAATCTACCAAAGTAACCAAACCCACAAAACTAAAAACTAAGCATATTAGTAGCCGAGAATAAGAGGAACTGGAGAAGGGGATCAAAACTAAAAATTGAAAACTTCTCATATTAGGAGCCGAGAATAAAAGGAACTGAGGAAGAAGATCAAAACTGAAGTTAAGAGGAAGGGAATCAAAGATCCTCTTTAGCTACCGTGCGGACAAGCGGCACCTTTGGACTCTAGCTCTGGTGACACGCAATCAAGGGTTGAATAGCAGAGTAGTAGGGTGACTAGGGTAAGCTCGAGAGCTCGTAGCCAAGAATCGTGCAGTGATGTAAGCTATCGGAGCGGGAAGACCCACCCCCCAAACAAAAAAGAAAAGAGAGAAAGAAAAGAGAAAAAAAAAAGAAAAAAAAAGAAAGAAAAATGTTGTAGTGCAAGTTCAAGTTCTATGGAAATCATAAATTGCAGTTGATTCGAAGGTGATGAGGGAAGGGGTTGTCTAGGGAACCTGCTCAACCCCCCTCCCGAGCATTGCCCATGCTTCAACCCTCGTACTGTAGGAGTAGGAATCTAACAAACAAACAAAGGAATGCATGGGACTTTATCAAAAAAGAAAAAAATAAGAAGAAATTTCACTCACCGGGGCATAAAGGATGGAATTCAAGCAAGAAAATAGGGTTGAATGAAGTTTGGGGGGTAGGGATTTTAGAGGAGAAGTGGGAGCATGAAGAGGGAAAATGAATCGGTGAAAAAAAAAACCCCTAAATAGTATTTATACCCTTTTTGGTTATTTCAATATTGACAGGAGGCACTATTCGATTAGTTAGTTATTATAATTTGCATCGAAAATCGTACCCCAATTATTGTGGATATGACTCGAATTATTCATACCCAAACTAAAACTTGAATATGATGTTTTTTTCAATTATATTAGGTTTGGAAATTCGATTAATTTGAGTAGAACCGAATAGTGCCCACCCCTAATTCTCACCATACACAAAGAGAAGGAAAGGTCCAGCTCTTGAAAATAAATTTGGTAAAATACCCTTTTTGGTCTCTCTACTATAAGAAAGAGCCCATTTTTTATCCCTATATTGAAAAAATTCCCTTTTTGGTCCTTAAATTTTAAAATCCGGTCCCTTTTTAGTCCTTCCGTTAAATTTTGGTTGATGTGGTAGGCTAATTAACGAAAAAATTTATTTATTTTTTTACTTAAATTACGTGAAAAATCCATTTCACAAGAGTTGATGACATGACAAACATTTTTTACCTTTAATTACTTATTTACCCCCATCTTCTCTTCCTTTTGCTTTTCTTTTTTTACCTCTAGGTGAACCCAAGAGTCGGGTCCATCGCGAACCCAGGCGCTTGGGTTCATCGTGAACCCATGAGCTCCTTCCATACTTACCCCCATCTTCTTCCCCAACTTTTCCTTCCTCCGGCCTTTCTTTTTTTCTTTTTTTCTTTTTTTTTTACCTCCAAGCAAACCCCAGAGCTGGGTTCGTCATGAACCCACGAGCTCCTTCCATACTTACCCTTGTTTGAGAGGTAAGTACAAAAAAATAGAGTAAGTTGGTTGGATGATTTTGTGATCAATTGAACACCATGACTTGGTTAATTAATTGTTTCTAACAGTTTTTTCCTGGAAAGAAGTTGAATAGGTTTTGTTGGCTCATGAGATACAATCAACAACTTAAAGAACAAACAAACACACATAATATATACAATCAATTGTGAATACCATTCTCATCCTCTTCAAGAACACAAGAGGCTTCCTTTCCTGCTTCAACAACCTGTCCCACCATCTCTTTTCTAATTTCTTTAGAACATACAACTTAAAGAAGAAACAAACACACATAATATATACAATCAATGGTGAATACTATTCTCATCCTCTTCAGGAACACAAGAGGCTTCCATTCCTACTTCAACAACCTATCCCACCATTTCTTTTCTCTTTACAACATA